AAGTGGACACTTGTTTATACCTCTGCTGTTTACTGCCGAGGCCGGTCAGACGCAAGATATGTGTTGAGTCGCAGCCGGTATAGTCGAGTAGCTATTTAACTTTTTTAAATGCCTCTTATCAAGTGGTACTTTTCAGCTCATTAGTTGCTTCATTTTAGCATAAATCTGTCCAAATAAAACCGTTTGAATTCACTCAGCTGTGTTGCGTTGCTTTTCTCCCGGGGCAGCTCTCCTGAATGAACAGGCGGTCAGGAAAACAGTCAGTGAGTCTTTTCTAATAATCCCACTGACGGCGTTCCCTGTTGCCCTGAGGCAGATTCCTGTTAGCCCCGCTGGCTCTGGATGGGGCCCACGCTGAGTAAGAAACCATTTGGTTGTCAAATTTTTGTCTGAATTATTGGAGTTTACACATAGGATCAGGTATAAAGTAAAGCTAAGTAAAAAGGTGAAGGCTTTACCAAGGATGTGTGAGCGGTGCTGAATGATGAGCATGTTTGTGTCGGCTGTTGTTTAGCTAAAAATAATAACTCGGGAGCTTGCAGCAGACATAATGTAGGCTGAAACAGCAGAGCAATCCGGATGGCAATGTGACGGCAAAGTTTTTCTAATTCTCTTTCAATCCCAGCCATCATGACCTGATGAATAAAGACCTTTTCAGAACTGAAATTGCATTTCTTTGACAGATCGTGGTTCTTTAGAATTGCTGTAATGGTCTAATATTCTTGGATGATCAGTTGTGTTTGATAGCGAATTACTTTATCTGAACATTTAATGGCTTTGATAATTCCAGCATTTAGCTCTTTGTCTTGTTGCCTTGGCCTACGAGACTAAAAAGACTATTGGAGGTTATCATAATGGGGCTGGCATTGAAGGAAATGGCCTCATTTTATTTAACTATGGAAAAAAAAATATAAGTAAGGCAGAACATTTTCAAGGATGTCCAGGTTAGATTGTAAAGCCACGGCAAGTTTTCCAATTGGTGATGAAAGTGACTTTGGAATGCTTAAATTAATACAACTTTACTGTTTTTTCTTCTTCTGGTGGTTTAATAATTTAGTAGCACATACATAGTGATGCTCAGCAATGTCAACCATCAGATCACAGCTTTACGTTACTCCTCAGGTTGACCAACATTAAATATGCTTTTGCATGTTTCACTGAATGTATATTAAGTTGTAGTCTCAAAACCGGAGTAAAACCCTGGAATACCCTTTGCATTCTGGGTATTCCAGATTAGAATGGGTCCGGTCGATGCGATATTAGGAAAATCATGCCTAAGAAGATCCAGGACAAGGCGAACTCTTTTTGACTGATGTGTGGTTTAGTATTATAGCTTTTAAATCAGACAATAATTATCATATTGGAATGATCCACTGCGTCCAACTGCACTCGAACAATATTCTGTCACTTCTTGAACTTTATTTTTTTGCCGTTTTTGAAGCTGTAACCTTCTAAACCCCTGACATAAATCGATATCTGTGACTGACCCCTGCCTCAAATAGTCGGGACAAAAACAGACAGATGTGAAAAACAGAAGAGTGGAGCTGGAATAGATGATATATTTCTGATCAAAATGATGTTGATAATATGGGTGGATCCTGCCTTGTTATGTTATCTAAACCTTACCCAGATATATTAAATACAATGTTTGCCCTTTGTTAGACATATCAGTAACTTAACTCCCTCTCTTATTCAAACTGGTATTGTAGTCCAACTGGTTTGTCCCCATTCCCACCTTGATCTGATATGACTACATCCTGGTTTGTTTTTGTTTTAAATGTGTCGGTATTATTATTTTTTTTCCAAGGTTCTGCCAGAGGACAGACGTTCTCTGGGCTGCCTGCTCTGCAGAAACAGAGACTGGACATGTTGTTTTATTAAAATGTACTTTAAATATTGTTTATTTTTAGATCAAATTTGCTATTTAATTTTATCTTGATAAATATTTATTTGCTTATATTGCCTGCTTTTTATTTTGGTGTTCCTATAGTATTTGTAATATCGGTTCATCCAAAAACTTTTCCCGATCTGATTAAAAAAAAAACCCTCAGCCGTCAGCTAGTCATTCGCTAATGTGCAGCAATCTTTTCCGCTCCAAACCAAACCTTCATTCATCCCACTTCTTTAAGAGTTTCTGAGCAGAAAACCGGTGTGGAACTTTGTGAGCTGGATCCCGTCCAGGCAGAACATGAGCACCTGTCAGTGTGGGAATCTCAAGGTTAATTAAAACATTAGCACTCACTCAATCTGCTCCAGGTAAATGAAGGTCTGCATAATTATTTCTTAAAGATCTCCGGTTAGTAGTTGTTGTCTCAGACTAATCTACAAGGACAGATGGCTCAATCTGCTCAGCGTACATGTAAAGTCCAGGAGGTCATAGACGTGAGTATTTCACTGCTCTGCCCTATCAGCAGACACTAGGTAAGAACAGCGAGAGCCAAAGTTTGTATAGCAGCACTCCAAAAACCTCCATTTTTATTGAGTTTCTTGGTATGATGCAGGTTGGCAGGACTTTCGGAGCGGATGATATAAATAGAATCTGCATAAGAAACTGCAGTGTTTTTGTGACTGATATGGGAGGTGGTCCTTGTAATAAAAGTTTCTCCAAAGCGTTGAATGTGTTCCTTAGGCCGTCCGCTGCTCGGCCCCCATAGAATGAGACCTACATAAAAATAACTGCTGCATGAGAATTTGTATATTTCTCTGTTTTCACTATAATTAGGAAACAACAATTCCTCATTAAACCTGAATATTTAAGAAGGTAAAAGAATATCCACCATATGTCGACCATAGTCACTGAAATACTGGGCAACTGTTAGGGTGCAGAATTATTATGCATCTATATATATATTCTCATTTATGCATCAGAGCACCTCTCCCTGACCTTTTAAATTAAACAAACAAAAAGGTCATAATTTCCTGAACAGAAGGGGGGGAATCAGATTTTGAAGTAAATTTTATTGGTGTTGCACATTTCAGCAACAACGCAGATCAAAGTGCTTTACATCATGAGAAACGGCATGCAGTCACAAATTATGAAGCTAGGAATAAACATTACATTTTGTCAAATGCCATCAAAATCAGTAAGTAATTACACATGAAATATGTTCATCAATATTCCATTTATTCCTGATAAAAGATGATCCTAAACAGGTGGGGTTTTAAAGGAACTCAGTGTTTCAGCTGTCTTTCAGTTTTCTGGACGTTTGTTCCAGATTTGTGGTGCATAGAAGCTGAATGCTGCTTCTCCATGTTTGGTTCTGGTTCTGGAGATGCAGAGCAGAACCAGAAGACCTGAGAGGCTGACCTATGAAGTCTTTGCAGTAATCAATGTGACTAGAGATAAACATGAGTTTCTCTAGATCTTCAGGTTGTAGATGACCGACTTTATAACAACTGTTAAGCTTCTTTGGACCCTACAGATCAGTAATAAGTACACAGTGTGCACAATTATTTGGCAAGTCTCATTTATCAGAATCACCAACCACGGTGCTCTCAATTAATCCAAAAAAATGTTAACAAACCTCAAACACTAATGTTCCAGAAAGTAAAGTTTTGGCTTTCTCAGCGCGTGCACGATTATTGGGCAACTATTATTATGCAGAGTTATTACGCAACTAAATGAAAAACACCCATTTTCATTTATTATTTTCATCTGTTTAAGCTTTCCAGTAAAACATTTCTGACGTGGAAAAAGAATGAGTCGGTGGTCGATGCTGCACAGCACAGAGAGGCGGTTCTGTTTCCCTTCACTGGAAATCTGCTGCACAAGAACTTCCCAGAAGTTCTCAGTTGGGTTCGAGTCAGACGAGGAAGGGGGTCATGTTCCTATTTAAAGGGTTTAATGGCTAGCCACGCAACTTTGATGCATGTGATGAAGCATTGTCCTCCAGACACACATCACCTGCTATGATTAAATCCATTAAGCATTCATGTTTATCCGGCTTGAAGCTAGAAAACGTGCCTCAAAATGGTGATGTGGTCAAACTTACTCACTTAATTATTGTGCACTCAGTGTAGAAGTAATATTTGTGTGCCTGTGCCAGGTTCAGGCTGCTGCTGAATCTGAATACTGCCCCTCTGTGCCTGACTGCATGCTTGCAGATGAGCAGTATGTGAGAAATAGAGAGCATAGAACTTCCAGAACTCTGCTTCGCAAAATTAAGACGGGGGTGAAAAAAAAAAAAAGAAAACAAGTAAACTTAAGGAAACGAGACCTAGTTGTCGGCTGCGCGTCCTCAAAATATTGTTTTCAACTTGGGCGGAGAGTATAACAATCCAGAAGTGGCGCCCACCAGTAATTATGATGCGAGTACAAAGAATCCTTTTCTTTTTTTTTTCTTTTTTCCCCTTTCCAAAGGGAGAAGGGATGTGTAGGTGTATTAATTCCCGTTCCTTCCTGCTTCCTCGACTTGGAAGTTCAGATTTAGAAAAAAAAAAAAAAAATAGCCCACCCTCCCCCTTGACAGAAAAAAGGAAGAAAAGGCCCAAAAAACAAGAGCTGTCAGGTTGAGTGATGCCAATCGTGCGTAGCATCTGTGTTCCCACTGCTGCTCCCTGTAGTATATGCCACACTGTGGCAATGTGGGAAATTGACACTGTCAATTTATCAGAACAAAAGCTTTCCTCAGCAAGAGGAATGCACATCTTAGGGCCCTGGAGACAAAAAAAAAAAAAAAATCCTTCTCCACCCCACCCACCCTTACCTGCATCTAAACAGAATGTAGGACATTCACAACACCAGAAATAGCAATTTCACTCACAATTATCATTTTTGAATTTATCCCCTGCAGTCAAAACTTGGTGTTTCACTTCAGGAGGCAGAGCTGCACTTTAATGTTAACTTTCTTTAAGTAAACAACTGAAGCGGAGACGGATTCAAACGGCTGCTGCAACCCGACACCGAACCACATTATTGATCTAGATAGGTTTTTTTTTTTCCCTTTAGAAATTAATATTCATTTGTTAAAACTGACTATTTCTATTGTCCTTCTTTCCAGGTGACTTATCCTGTGATCCTGACCATCGTTAGTGTTGGTATTTAGGTAAGTTTTTCTAAATACTTTTACGGTCTCTTTGTCAAGCCAAGTCCACATGTAGTTGGATATATGAGAAAAAGGAGCATGTCGTTATGCACAAAACACTGTTTTTATCACTAAAAATGGTTATTAATAAAAACTCCCACCAAAGTAGAGATTTCAGAAAAGTTTGTATTTGTGTGTACATGGGAAAACAGAGATTTAAGTCCCTCGGATTACAGTCTTGGACAAATAATGCACCAATATAGTCACATACTTGTCAAAACATGATTCACAATCAACGTTCTTGAGTTTTACTAAGTTTATATTTTAAAAATAGCTCAACCTACACATTTGTCCACACAAGTAAACCTCCTGGTATCATGTTTAATTCCTAACAGGAAGTCATAGTTGATTTGAAGCATTCTGATTGGCTGACAGGTTTTGGCTTTGCGCTACACTGCCCCCTATGGCTCTGGCATGCTAAAAACAACGTTCAGGACAGATTTGTATTTAAACAAATCCGCACTGGATCTGCTTCAGGAAAACGTTCCTGAAGCAGTGTGTGCAATAATATTTTTCTTAACAGTGTCATAGGAAAAAAAAAATGTTTTTATAAAGACCCTACTATACCTGTACAAGGCCTTAGTTTACTATTAAACATCTACCACCTCCTTTGACACCCAAAAAAACATTTAAATAATTCAGCTTAGTTATTGCAGTGTTGTCTTTCCTTTCATCAGGGTTACACAGAGAAACCAAATGATGAAAAGAAAAAAAACAAAAAACAACCTTTATAGTGTTTTTAGACTTTGGTGAGCGGTACAAACGTGTCATTTATGCATGGAGAGAAATTTAGACAGTTATAATTGAGCCTCAAAAATTGAACAGGATGTATTAAAAATAGGTAAAACAAATTTAAGATGAACATTTTTTACAGTTGTGTTAAGAAATTTGAATCCTAATTAAATCCTAAGAAAATAGATTTTCAAGATAAGATTTTTAAGTGTTAAACACTAAATATATATGAAGATTTTACATTATAATAGTTCTGGCCTGTCATTGCTTTTCTGTCTGAAAAAGTGGCAAAAAAAAAGCAACAAGTTGTCCTAAGTGATCCCATGATGCCGTCTTGATTTAGTTGGGAAAAACGGCGTCTCTCCAGTTATAGTTTAATGTTTTTTCCAAGTTCAATGGTTCTGCAGTTCTTCAGCCTCCTTGTTAAGCTAATCTAAAACCTTCTTCATTTTGTTTCTGTGGATGCTTTGAACAGATTGTTGTTACACATGAGTTAATTTAGTCGCAAATTGTCCTTTTCCAAAGGCGCTCCGAGATGTTTTCCCAGCGCTCAGATTTGATTCTTAAATGCACAATGATGGAAAGTTGAACTAAAGAAGGAGAAACTGAATCATTTTGTTAGTTTGTTGTTGTTGGTTTTGGTTTTTATTGCAGTCAGACCCAACTGCAGTGATGTCCTGAACACAACAGTGTCCTGTGAGGAATACAGTTGTGTTGTTGAGGCTGCTTACTGCAGGAAATGACATCACAGCGCACTTATAGTTGCTCATAAATGATAATATGCTTTCAGTTTTTTCAGAATTTGACCAAGTGTATGTAAACGTGTGAATTTGAAAGAGAATGTTTCAAAAAAGTCTCGCCAAGTATCCTGGTTTCTAACAAATAGAAATACTTTTGGTAATTCTGACGAACCTAAAACAACAGATTTAACTTCAGTCAGTGAGAAAGAACGTCTTTAATTGGTGGATGTAAGCTTCTGGTTTCAGATGTACTACAGTTGGAGATTATTTTTTGAGTTAAAACTGACAAACAGAACAACGTTGGGAGCAATAAAAATTATACATCGTTTAATAATTGTTTTTTTTTTGCTTTTTTATTACCTAGTTAGTAGGACCACAAATATTCTTAATCATTTACTCAAAAGTTGACCTGGGTGCACCCATTTGACTTTGATCATACTGCCTCTTATTTTAGGTTGCATATTTTTATTTAATTGTAATTAGTTTGTAGAAATCAATTTTCACTTTGACATTAAATGGATTTGCTACATTTTGTTAAGTTTGATTGATTTGTAAAAGCAATTAAAAAGAAAAAAAAAAAAAAAAGTCCAAGAGTGTGAATTACTATACATACCCTTTTTTCTGATACAAACAAACAACAGTTCTTGTTTTGGATGTAACCGTCCATGTTTAAAGATCTGTTCTGTGCCAAATCAGTTTGCATATTTTACTTTTATTTTTTTTTTAAATGGGACATTAAGGAAACACGTGATGATACATATTACTAAATAAAAAGCTCTTGGGAAGCTTTAAGGTGGCTGTGTCTAACAAAGCTTGTGCTGTAGTTGGATGTCAACATGTTATATATTTTAGATAAAAACAGATGGTGAGGTGCTCCCAGGAGGGACGGAGCACTCCTGCAGTGAATGTGAAAATGTTGAACAGGTGGTCAAAGAAGCCTTAGTCACTTCTGCAGCTCTTAATTGCTGATGCTGATTTGTGACCTTTCACGTCACGCAGCACAGACTGGGAGAAGCTGGCACGTCTTTGCCAGAAAACATCATGTTATAGGTTTTCTAAACACGGCCACCGGTGAAACTCTGGTTTGATCGTGTAACACAGACTCTTTTTATACTTATTCATAAGTAAGCCGATGCTTAATTGATTGGCTGTTGAGCAGTTAAGTGTTTCTTAAATACTCTGTCCATTATGGCTGCATTCCAGAAACATTGACGCTTCTAATCATATATCAAGATAAAATATTTCTTCTCTCCATCTGCTCATAAGTACATTATGAGATGCTTTGAATGCTCTTTATGTTCCATATTAATGTGTTCTTCAAAAGAGTCCATTATTACCCTCAGATTATGTGCTTTAATATCACCATAGAAACAGTGTTTGCATTTGACAGAAAGTTTTTGTATGTCAGGGAGAATATTACATAGTGAAAGAGTAAAGTGAGGCTGTCGGGGTCCTTCATGTCCTGCTGCTGCTTCTTAAACCAGCCATTTCCAAGCTGAGAGCCAGTTAGCTTCAGCTTTAGTGACAAAAACAAAAATCGATCCATCAAGATAACCTTATTTGTGTGACTCATAAGACTTTGTGTCTGATAAGTGAAATGAGCTGATGACTGTTCAGAAGGTACACCAAGGTTTGTGAGCTAAAAAGTGTCTCACTATTCCTTTGGTTTAAAGTTCTTAAAGTGGCACCAGAGAAAGTCCTAGAGTGCTCAGTTTTCTCTATGAAGCAGAGAAACAAAGCCCCTCCCTCACTTGTTGCCATGCACTTCTTCTCAGTATGTTGAAATAAGGCCATTACAATGTTTCTCTCGAAGATGAGAAAGACAAAATCAGGTGTTAGGAAATGTCTTTGGTTGAAAAAAACAGACAATGATGATGTGGAAACTAAAAGAACATCACTCATCACTCTTAAAACAGTACACTTGGCTAGCTAACAGCGGCATGTTTGTAAAGCAACTGATTGCAGGCTATATACCACAGCCGATAGCCTGTGGTATAAAGCCTGTCGTCAAAGATTTTGACAAGCTAATATTAGCTTGTGACGAGTAGAATGATTCAAATGTAGTGTTTATTCTGTTTGTCTTAAGATGTGGGTAAAAAATAAAATGCCAATTTATATATATTGGCATTTTATAAGGATCAGATCATCCTTGAGTTTTGAAAATTGGGCCTCTGTCTCTTTAAAAACTCCTGCTCTTTCTGAAATGCAGAGTTTAAGCTTTTAACGAGGTTTTTTTCCCCCAGCGTTTCACTGAGAAGTACCTTTTATAATGAGCTCAGCAGATGTGGAGTTCCACCCGGTCTTTGCTAATTGCTGCTGGCTAGTCTGAAGGAGCTGGTCTGTGAGGCAGAAGCTCGGAAACTGGAGCTCAGAGGAGGAGCTTCGTCCCTGAAGGCGGGGCCAGGTCCACCCATGCATTTTGCATGGGCTGAGTGGTTGACACGGTAGAATAAAGGATTTATTTTTGTATCTTTCTGATGATTGAATAACATTGTAACATGATGCAAATCTCCAAAAAAAGTCAATTTTACATAATATAATCTCTTTATATTGCTGATATTTTGCAACATAAGACCAATTGATGGTCTTACATATTGTAAAGATAATATGTATTGTCTTTACCAATTCAAATGGCTTTTTTTTATTCTGAAAACTAGTTTGGCAACAATTGCTAGATAAACACTTATTATTCTAAGCTCAGTTGGAAGAAAACGTTAGCTGTTCTCATTTATTCTTATCTGATACACTTGATGTTGCTCCTCTCGCTGAGGTTGCTTAAACGTCTCCAGCCTGTCATGCAACCGAAGTGGACCAGCGCAGACCCGCCTCCACGAGCGGGCCACAGTGGTGCTAACATAACTTACCAGGGATGCTTCATGGTTCCTCACTGTGTTTGTTTGGATTACTGGCTCGCAGTTCATCTGTTCGGGCCAGATCCTTGAAGCACTCGTCAAATTGGCGGATGACGAGCGAGGCTGGCTGCCAGCTGAATTTTAAGAACTGTTTAGCTTCACAGTGGAGTTGCAAATGCTTAACTCTTTGTTGGGTTTGACTGTTGCTGTAGCCAAGGGGATCCTTAACTCATCTGACTGCGAGAGTTTATTTACACGGATAAATCCTCCCAGTATTTGCTGGACTGCAGCAGGGAAAAAAAAAAAAAAAATCTATTCCATCTTTCACAGAAGCACAGTTTTTGGTCTCCAAATCTGTTTAAATGGTCAGGCATTTGACTGATACATAAAATCTGTCTTGGGCTGGTTTTTATTTGCTCCTTCTCTCACAATCATCACATATTTTCATTTTTGTGTGTTTCGCAGCGTGCCATCTTTTGCTCTTCATGTCTATCTATTAAGCTTCCTCAGAAACAGTAGATTTAGTGTCTCTTCTTTTATATTTATAAAGATTCTGCTCAAACCCTACATTCCAAACATCCAGTGAGAGAACATTCACTTTCATATCCAACAAAATGACCCAAAAATGCCAACTGAA